GATAAGGTTACTAACCATTATGACGGATTAAACGCACAAATTGTTATGACTTGAAGAGCTGGTTGCGACTGACTTGTCCTATGTTCATGTCGAGCGTTTTATGCAGTACCATCGAGCGGTCGTTGAGAGTGTGAGTGAATCCCCACTCTATAGTAAGATATATGGTTGGGGGTATGTATAACGTAAGGAAATAACACATGTTATGATATACAGAATATTTATTATCATCATCATCATTAACAGGGTATTATTATTAAAATAATTTTGTAATACACCGAGTAGATGATTTTGCTGACTTGGCATCCTTGTAGTCGATCAGAGGTGGTGGGGATGATGACCGTCTGTTAAAATACATTGGACCGTCGTTCTCGTCAACAGCCTATAAAAAGGTATAATTATTCATCATACAAAATATTATATAATATATTATATATTATATCACCTTTGGTTTGGTTTTCCGAATTGGTGCCCATGCTGTGTCCGAATGTGTGGATAAATATTCTCTGAACCCCCTCTCCTCGTCAGCTGCCTATAAATAAATAATAACATTTAATACTTAAATATTTTATTATTTTAATTTTAAATTACTCGTGACTGTGATAAATCGTCTTCGTTATATGTCATTAATGGAGACATACTTGAGTATCTTGGTGGGGATGGCTGCAGCATTTCCACGTCAAAGGCTTCAGTATAATACTAAAATAAAAATAATAAGTAATCGTAATAAAAAAAAAAAAAAAAGTTATATATATATTATTACCTTTAAATCGTCTGCTTCAGGCCACCTCTGGGTAGGCGGGAGAAATTTTATCAGTTCCTCATCAACAGCCTAATTGAATTCAAATGTTTAATACTTTTTCTTATAAATAATATATATATATATATTCTTACTTTTATCGAATTCTTTGACATCCAATTGATTGCTAGCTGTTCAGTTGCAAATAATTTGATCTGGTTTATAAAACTTTGGTTGTTTTTCGGTATATGCTTTGCAATTAATTCGATATGAATTCCTTTGATTATTGTTTTTACTTCTTCCAGTGTCACAGATTTATCAATATTAAAATCAGTATTAAAGTATTCGGATATTTGTTCGAGTTGATTTAAAATAATAGGTTTTACGATATCGTTTTTTCTTGAAATTGTTTCAAAAATGGCCCACTCTAAATCTTGAATTGTCATAAGATCTCTTCGACTTAATATGATTCTACATCCGTTTGTTTTTTTTGACTCTATAACCAACACATGCTCTCCTTTATATACCATACTTGTAAGCAAAGCGACTTCATCTTCCAAAAAAATAATTTTTTTATATTTTACAACAGGATCGAGAACGTGTGACAAAACATGGCCCATGACTGAATAAATTCGTTTCAAGAAGTCTGATGAAATTTTTACATACCGTGACGGTGTAATTATTTGCAAAACGATATTGAACTGATCTTTTGGATCGAATCCGACGTTCAAGAATTTGCGATTTTCAAAGTCTATTGTAAAATTAGAGCAATCCATGAGTTCATGTGGAGATGTAGGTGCAACATAATTGTATACCCTTTTCATTTCACTTATTGATCCTGCCATACTAAAACTGTTATAGCAAAACTGAGACTTACAACTTGACACTGTTAAATCAAAACTGTGACTGAATATTCACACGATCGAGTATTAATTATTAAACCATGTATGGTATGTAGTGGGGTTTATGTATAATGTGTTTGGTAGTGGGGATTAGGTATATAATGTGTTTAGCATTTACATGGATAGTATATATATGCTTTATAAATAATTCGTAGAATCTTGGACCACCCTGTTGCAATTTTTTTTTTTAGGAAAATAACAAGGAGGCAGTGGCAATGTGGCGGTGGCGGTGGCGGTGGCGGTGAAGGGGAGAGGTGGTGGTGGCCTGATCTATGGCTGAGAAGTGAGTAGAGGGGGTGGCGGTGGCGGTGGCAGACGATCTATGGCTGGGTAACGGGGGGACGGTGGCGGCGGCCTGATCTATGGCTGAGCGGTGTGTAGAGGGGGTGGCGGTGGCGGTGGCGGTGGCGGTGGCGGTGGCGTCTGCGGCGGTGGCGGTGGCGGTGGCGGTCCTAGGATCGGCAAATATATACTACTCGCATAGAAATTATGGTAGTAACAAAGTTAGTAAATATTTGTAATAACATAAACAAAATATAATTTTTATGTCACAATGTCAGAAACTACTTATGTCACCTAAGTTAATATATTTATAAATTTCCTTACATTTCAGTGGGGGTGAACGTGAACCTCTATACCCATGAGTGAGCGCATGTATACATATTATTGTTGAACATAATGTTCTGATACAGTGATACAATTCATATCTGACATATTCACCGGGAATGTCAAAAATCAAAATATAATTATAAATATAATTTGAATAAAAATGTGGACTAAAATACGTAAATCCACTATATAAAGAGATATTTTTTAGAAATTACTTGATAGTTTGAATATTTTTTATTCCAAGTTATTTTATGTATAATAATGAGTAATATTATGATCTAAAATGTATATAACTAATCACAATTATCTACTAATACAATAATACTTGAGGGGGACGGAGTGGCCGAGTGGATAACGCGTCGGTCGCAACGCGCACCGTCGCCGGTTCGAATCTCGGTCACGGGTGGCACTTCTCTCCGGGCAGTCACGGTGTCTGGAGAGAGAGGCCGCCATCCCCCAACCGGGTATGGCAGAAACCTACGGGTGCCCACTAGAAATTCTGCCAAACAAACACACACGTGTTCCATAACCCTACAGTAACCCAACAGTCCCAAAAACCCTACAGTACCACAACCTACAGCTAATGGCCTCAGTTGCCGAAGCTTAAGATCAATAAAAAAAAAAAAATAATACTTGAATATTATATTATTATTAAAATTGTATTAATACATACGGTAACGCGGTCGGGGAACGACCAGTTAAATATAAGATACCTAAGGAGAATCTTAAGAGGACGCTACCAATGCATTTGTTGTCTCCCTCTTACTCACGTACGACATAGAATATTTTCGTTCACTAGATTCAATAGTGTGCTGTTAGTTTTGATATTAGAGTCAATTGAGTTATTATCAAAGTTTAGAGGTAAGAACATTATCCACGCTTAAGCTTTGGCAGATTTTTGGATATTTTAATTTTCAAGTGAGATATGAGCATATTTAATTTGTGTTATTTCACATACTCTACTGTCTTGCTTGAAAATGAAAATGTCGAAAATCCGCAGATGCTTAAGCATAGATAATGTTCTTAGTTTCCTGTCCAAAACTTCGATACTGCTTAAATTCACTCTAATATCAAAACTAACGGCACACTATTCAAACTAGTGAATGAAAATTAGCTATGTCGTAAGATGGACATATAGATGGAGACAACAAACGTAGCATCCTCTTAATCATCTTGTAGATTTAAATACCGTAGCCAGATAGCCAGGAGCAGATATCAGAATTCAAATATATTTAGATAACTATGGTTCCATTTTAGTTATAGTTATGTTTTAAATAATAATGTGGGCTGTCAAGAAGTTCAGGTGCGCGAGATAGTAATCTTACATATTATAGTATTTGGACAACTCTGAGAAACCAATTTAATATTTTCTGTATTTAAATATGTGATTATAGTCGTTATTTTTAAAATACCACATTCCATTTCTTAATTATCAATAAACACCCAGTCTGAATAGATTGACCATGGTTAACTTTTCTAACTTTTTTTTTAAATATAATTTTATCTTTATTTATTTTTTAAACAATTCGTTATAGTCTCACTTACCTAAATTCTAATTTTTATCTTTAGTATATTATTATAATTATAATTATTATTATTATTTTATTTTAATTTAAAATTTGTGCTTAATGTTAATCGCTTAAAAATTCCTTATTTAAAATTTTTCTATAGCTTTTAATTACATATTTGGTCTTAAAACCTAAAGTCAGTAATAAACCCTTGAAAATTCGATACCTATTCAAAAGTTTATCTCACTCATAAGTCATAAGTAAATAAGTAGGGTAAAAAGGCTAATTTAAAAAGGCACATTATAAATTCCTACATATCAATTAAACATTATGCTAAATCCATATATCATTCTGAAAACGAATTTGAGATACCACTTTAATTTTAGTTAAATATTATCATTATTATAATTATTTAATTTATAGTGGTTTAGTGCTGGTAAACAACCATTGCCACAAGTACCAGCTCGACCAGTTCGGCAAACTCCAATAGATTCAGACGAGATTTTCCGGATGGTTGATAAAATATTAGGAAACGCTACTATTAATTTATAGAGCCTGGTTCACTTGCTTCCAGGGCGTATGGAGCATTACCTACCCTTGCCTTTAATTCCTTGTCTCGTCAGTCGTCAATAACACCCACGTTACCGTTGTTGTTTTGTGTGTTGAATTGTCTATTAATCTTAAAATAAGGGGCTCGTATAAAGACATTGCCAGAAACCGTCGATGGTACACGCAAGTCTGGTTGCCTACCCGACTCACTAAAGGAATTTTAAATCTTTTTCGGTTGACACAATTATTACAAGTTCACCCTATGTAGTATTTTCAATGGTACACCTATGTGTAAAAAAATATTAAATGAAATATCTATTTGAAGTTTGTAGTTTTTTGAAGTATTGAAATATATTTTTGAATAGATTGTCGATGTATCTATATTAAATTATATGTTTTTCGGTACACTGTATTCTATACAATTTTAATTATTAATTAGACATTTACCATTTCTTGTTTATTTGTATACTATATTTGGAAACATTGTAAAAAATGAATCAAAATTAGAAGCAGTTACGGATAAATAATTACTGGCTAAATGCTTATTATTATTATTATTATTATTATTTATTTATCAAGTTAGTTTGAACTGTAGGAAATTAGTAAGCAATGACATGTATTCATATGCCATGTACATCCTTATAGAATAGCTATAGCGAATACAAATGAAAAACAAGAATTAATAGAAGTTGAAGCTGTACACAAACATTTTCAAATACCTGACAAAAAAAAAATTGTCACCTTTCAGTTATTAACTTGAAAATAAAAATATTATTTTATTTTATTTCTCATCATTCTTAAGATTGAGTGGCATGTATTATGTATATTATAATAAATAATTAGTACCTACTTTGTAGTACAACGAAACCTCTAAATATACCGAATACTCGGTGTCCGTAAAGAAGTGCACTGTAGTTTATTACTGCGATAAAGAAATTTTAATTTCTTAATTTTTTTTTAATCTTTTAATTTTTTGATATACAATATTGTTCAAAATACTTGTATGAGTTTGTGTAAATAAAAATAAAAATGTTACTGTACTTGGAGATCAATAGAAGACAATGTAATGAAAATTAATTCAAAACAATTTTCGAATAATAAATTGTTATTAAATGTGGTTATTGGAATCATCCCTTCGCCGCGGTCAACAAGAAGGAATGGAAAATTTTACTGTGACATATTTCCGCACAATAATAGTTATAAATAAATTTACATAATCTCTATATTTTGTCTTTACATAATTAGAAAACAAAATCAGATGGGATGAAATCTTTTATCACTGCGGGTCGGTGATAGCCCGTGCTGCGAATGAAAGAGTGACCGACGATTACTAGATTACCTAATACAGTAATACCTATAATGACAACACACCATTTGAACCATCTGTAACCATTCGCTCACCAACCCTACCGCAGCCAATTAAAATGTAAAACAAACCACTAATAATAATTGTTATTAATCGTGTATGTTTAAAATATAAATAATATAATTAATATTGTTCATATTAATGTCTTCACCAAACGCGACGGGTGTCTGAGTAATAATGACGTGCGCGCGTGGGTGCGTGTGTGGGTGCTTGGAAATAATTATTAATTAACGTGTGTATTCAGCCGCAAGGATTGTTATTTCATTTATTTGATACAATATTATTATTTTTTATTATTGTTGATGACTTGTTGGAAAATGCTGTGTTTAATAATAAAGTAGAGCATTATATTATCAGTTGTAAATTGCGTACAATGCTCGTTTTGCTTTAGGATAAGTTGCTGTATGGAAGGAGAGCGTATGCATAATATATTACGTGTAGGCACTATGTACAGTTAATAAAATAATTAATTAATAAAATAGGTGAAAGAAACACAGGGTGATTCACCAAGCATGCTCTCCCGATTTTTCTGAGTACATTTATATATATATATTTTAATTTTTGGAATTTTTAAGTGTAGGCAAAGACCATATTATTTCCAAATCTTAAATTTTTTTTACCATTTTGAAGAAATATCATGTGGTTAAACAATCCAATAAGTTACCTGTGTTTTTCTAAAGAAAACCACCCTTATTTTGAATATAAAATTATGACCAGATAATGTTTTTTAAAATGTTGAAGCATCTAATTCAAAATAATTATAATAATTAAAATACTCAAAAATGATATGCATAATATTATGAATTAATATTATATTAAAATGAAATACATGATTAATATAAAATAATACCTAAATAATATTTATAGATACTGTATTATAATATCGTATATAGTATTTAACAATAAAAACAAAATGATTAATAGTTTAATATTGCAAGTAATAAAATAATAAAAACCAATTAAAAAAAATAAAATAATTAATAACAGTAATTACTAATTAGCACGTATTGCTTTACCTAAAAAAAAATATCGTTTAATTTGTGTATTGTTTTTACCTACACGGCATTATGGATGAACAAAATATAATAAACAAGACGACTAAGGTAAATATGAATAATCATTATCTGATTATTTACTAATATTCTGGAATACTATCAGGTGATTCTTTAATCATGAACCACTCATAGTCTCAAAAACTAATATTTCTTTTAGGCTCATAATTTAATGTCATTAAAAATAATTTGTTAACAAAGTTTTTCACAACTTTATATCGTTTTAACTTTTTAAGTTTTTGAATTAAAAATTTGTTATAAAAAACTGGTTAAAAAAAATATTATAATAATAAAAAAGTTTAAAAAATATTGTTTTTGTTATGACTAAAACTTATGTAGGTATAAGAAATTTCAAAATGTTTATAATTTTTTCAAATAATGAGTAGATCATGTAGTAACATGTACATCCTTTCTTTAAACTCCCTTGCATATGAATTTTAATAACAATTATTTAATAATTTTTGTTACATTGCCTGAATATTATATTTGAGAACTTAAATTCTATTGTTTTAGAATATTTTAGATAAGTATAATAGATGTTTGTTGCGAGGTGGTGGCATTTGAGACTTCAATTGACAATCTCTGTGAAGTGATGTCACTCCCATGGCCCACGGGTTGTCACTTTTGTTTACATTTTTAGATCCAGTGTGTGTGTGTGTGTGTGTGTGCCGTGACGGTCGACCGCAACGGGTGGTAATCTTTTTTTCATACGCTATGTAAAAAAGTTTCTTATCAAATAACTTTGATTTTTTTATTACTTAACAAACGTTAGGTATGTGAACACATGTTGTATAATAAATGCATTCTGAATGTTTTAAGGAGTTTAGCTTATGCAACCATACGTACACGACTGTAGTATAAATATAATAGGGCTCTCTCAATTCCAGTTTGAAATAATATAGCATTGTTACATTTTAGATTTGTTAAACAGTAAAGCATAGCCAGTTACAACTACAGCAGCAACTACAAGTAAGGTTTATATATATTTATAATTAAGTGTTTCATATTTAATATTTTACAGATCATATCACTTTTGAAGACATCGATGATGAATTTTGTATAGCACTATTGGATAAGGTTGAAGAAAGTGGATTACGTGAAATTAATACCTAAATATATACATACTGTGATCAGGATTTAGGGTAACACTAAATATTTCAGCCAGCTGAACTTGTATTGAAATGAATTTTTGGGGGAGGGGGGACCTAGGTGGTACTGAAATACATATTTTGTGAAACTTCCAAATGTCTAACGCTGACGATGCGCACATGCGCAGTACAAAATGTATTTTCTTTTAACCGTAACACTTATTTTTATCACATGATTTGGATTGACAGAATTTTTTCAAGTCGATTTGACTCATTATACTTGGCTCTAAGTTCAAAATTGAATGAATGACGGCCATTATTCAATTTTGAAAAATAAAAAATTGAATTTAGGTACCTGTGTAATTTATTAATTTTAGGTTCATGTATACAATTTTATTTTTTTTTCATTAAATTTTATAATTATAATTATTATGATTATGATTATTATAATTAACAGTAGTATTAGTAGTAGTAGTAGTACTGAATATTGTTATTAATTCTATACTAATATTGTAGTAGTAAAATAAACAGAAATATTTGAAATATCAAAATGTACATACCTAGTATTTAAATATTTAAAATTTTTATTCATAATTTGATCTCCGAAAATTAATTATAAAAATTAAAAACCTAATTGTCCTATAATAGGGAGTGAAGATTTTTGCATAGAAATTATAACATTTAAAGAAAAAAATTAACTAACATACATGAATCTAAAATTAATAAACTATAAAGGTAAACTAAATAGTTTTTTGCAGTAGTAGAAAAAAGAGAGTTCTGGAACCTTTAGCTGGTCCTCCACCGCCGACTCGTCAGGTGAGGGACGTATAACGTATATTTTATCTCCCAATTTCAATGTCTAGTATAGTGTTGTAATGGTTTGGAACACCATTACAGTTTTCATATTTTTATAATTATAATATTACGAATAGTATTATATACTTTACAAATATCATAGATGCACGTGTCATCTTTTATCCATTCTGTAATATCACGGGGTAAAGCTATATATATTATATATGTATAACTATTTTGTATAGTTAACAAAATTTATAATAATCGTTAGGCCTGCTTGACATTCGTTAGCCAAACGAAGTTAGTCTCGTCTCACCACTTGCTCCGTGTATTGTTGCTGCCAGGTCATCGGTAAAGTAAAATATTTTATATTACATTTTATTTTACATTTTAAAATATACGTTAAATCATACTCGGTATAACTACTTGTCTTGTCGAACATCCAAATCCTCTCACATTCCTCCGTTAGGTTATTATAAAATATTAGCTTTTGCGGATGATAATGCATTGTTTTTTGAAGCTGATACTCGGACTGAGGTGGAAAAAGGTGCTAATAAAGGTATAACATTGGTCAGTAAATGGTATACTAATAACAGTTTAATGCTAAATAAAAAAAATCAGTTTTTATCCCATTCGCGCTATCTAATCAGAATTTACCAGATCAAATCATAATTCAATTAAAATTCAATAATAAATGTAAAAACATAAATATAATTAATGAATGTAATAATAATTGTTACCGTATATCTAGAGAAAGTTCATACAAATATCTAGGTGTAATATTTGATGAAAAATTAAAATGGAAACCTCATATTGATATGCTAATATTACGCTTAAGGAAATGCTTTTATATATTTAAAGAACTCCGTAGTATCTTAAACATTCCGAGCCTAAAAATGGTTTATTTTGCGTTAGTTCAGTCTGTCTTAATGTATGTCATAATAGTATGGGGCTCCGCCTATAAAAATGTACTTGAACCACTTAATGTAACACATAGAACTCTCGTCAAAGTAATAACGAAAAATATTTATAATTCCGAAATTAACACAAATACTATATTCCAAAAATTAAAAATATTATCATTGGTACAGTTATACAATAAAATTTCAATTTTAAAAATATATATGAATAAAACAGTTTATGAATCCCTGAATATGTATAAAACAAGAGGAATGATTAATGGAAATTTAAATTTAATCAAACATAACACATCTTTGATGGGTAATTATTATATAAACAGAGGGATAAGCCTATTTAATCGACTACCAACAAATATCAAATTGATTGATAATGATGTCAAATTTAAAAAAATATTAAAAAAGATGTATATGCAGTCCTTTGAAAATCTTGTTTAATATCCGTCTTTATTATACCAACACCGATTGTATTTGTTACATTTTTAGGACTTGTTTCGGTTATTTGTTTTGAATTCATTTTTATAAATATTATATATCGTAAAATTGTGTATAATTTATAGTAATTAATTATTAAGACCCCTACTCTTACAACAAGCTATTGATTATATATAGTAAGTATCAACTTAAAATTTTGATTTAAAATTTATATGTAATCATTATTATGAAAAAGAAGTTGAATTGTTATTATTATTAAAAAAAAAATACAATGAAACTTCCATATAACGAACTAGGTATACTCACGTTATCAGAGAAAAAAAATGTTTAATAGGTAATTCGTCGCTGAGTGCCGCTCGGCGAGGACGCGGGTACGACGACCGTCCGTGTGGCGGTCGTAATACGGGCTAGGCGATCCGAATTAGTGTTTTATTTATGTTAATTTGTAATAAAAAGTGTTTCCGACCCCCAAAAATTATTTGTTCTGTTTGAGTAGTCACGCAATTTGCCGTACTCCTTGAATCCAATCTATAACCGGTTAATTTATGGTCGTTGAGGATTTCAGGTTTCAACGGTAAAGGTAATCTTACGTTATTGTATTCTTTTCAATCCAATCTGTAACCGGTTAATTCATGGTCGTTGAGGATTGAAAAGTCTAAGCAGTAAAGTAACGATATCGACTTTTGAGAGCCAAACTGTAACCGGTTAATTTATGGTCTTTTGGCGCCTCAAACGTCGGTAGAGGTATATCACTTGAAAAGTGCATATTATACGACATATCTTTACAGTAGTGATGGCGAAGAAATGGTAACTGATGAAGATTCGAGTGACGAAGAAATGTCAGAAACGTTCTTACCAAATATTACGTCCGATGCAGATTTGTGATTTTATATAAATAATGTTATAGAATATTAATCAAGAGTTGTATTTTTCATATATGTATACACTGTCGTATATTTTAGACAGTCGTCACTGTAATATATACATAACATAGGTAGGAACATTTGTATTTGTAATTGTTAATGTAGGTCAGGCCAATGAAGCGAAATGTGCTGAGGCATCAATATATTTTACTATATTTCACCGCCGTAAGCGCAGTCACGGGGAGTCGATCCGGAGTCGAGTCGAGTCCAGTTGTCGCTGAATGATTCAGCGAGGACGTAGGTACGACGGTTGTATGTGTGAAACGTCAATCATAGTACGGGCTATAGGCGATCTGAATTCGCTAAGTAATCTATTTATGTTTGTTTTGTAATGAATAAAAGTGTTTCCGACCTAAAACCCGAGAGATGAGTATTATTTCAAAGTCTTCTTCGTTCTTACCTTTAAAATTGGAACAGTGCTCAGACCCACACACCTATAGTCAATGACGTTTATTGCAAACTGAACAGTGCTCTGGTTGTGGCGTCCTAATAGTCATTCCAATTTAGGAAACGGACGTGGAATTGACTTAAAAGCACACCGTCGTGCCTCAAAAGTCAACAGTGCTAATCTGAATTTATTCTGGAGACAGTCATTAGCTTAGAGCGTACGAAGGTAAGGCATATAATAGTTGGTTCACTATCCTATACGGGTGATACCACAACACAGATAAGTAATACAAGTTAGGTACTAAATTCAATTTTATTACATGTTTCTAACATTAACCTCTCGTTGTTCGCGTATCCTCTCCCCAAATATACCGTACCAGTGCTTCAAGACATATAACATCAGAATCTTTTCCAGTCCATGAGTCGATATCATTTATTTTATCTATGATAGTAAATATTTGTTATACACATGTTGCAAGAAAAAACAACATCAACTAAACGTACCATTTGCTCGTTGGTGGTTAATACAATACTCCGATACACGTTTGACATCGATTCTAGTCTATAACAACATACAACATAGGTAATGTAAGTGCTATAGCAATTTTATATTTTGTCATACTAACCTCGTCAGCAGAAATGATTTCTTCATGGATTAATAAATTATTGTAATAGATTCGTCTCGGTGTATTTGATAGCTATAAATACATACAATTTATTATTTTTTAATAAATTATATACAGGTATGTATAAGTAATTAATTTTACCATTTCTTCAAACTCATCATCCCCTAAAAAGTCAATGAAACCTGCTGAAACGTCACTAGTGTTAATATTAGATTCCTGGCTGGAGTATGACATTTTTAAAAACAAATAACTGTAATAATGCGTCTGTTGAAAAACTGCACTAAGATTACACTGAGATTTATCATAAATACCTACCACCTATTGCGTTTCCGAAAAATTATAAGCACCTATTAAACATTTTTTTTCTCTGATAACGTGAGTCTACCTAGTTCGTTATATGGAAGTTTCACTGTATTTGAAACGAATGTTTCTTCTGGACTTTGAGTAGGAGAGGTGTGTGGTGGTGGCGGTGCTAGAAGTCTTTATTTTATACTACTTAAGTTGTTGTAATAGACCTTTCTTGGTATATTTGAGGGCTGGATTTTCTGAATGTGGATTATTTTTGATTATATTATATGTAAATACATTTACCATATCATTATTACTCAATACGTTAAGAATAGATAATATGGTGAGTGTTGGTAATGGCCAATGTGGTCAAGCAAATATCAGGAAGTTATGAATACAATTATGACAAACTTTAATTGTAAAACTAATGTAAATTATATTGATGATTGTACATGTTTTGGAAAAACTTTTGATGATCACTTATGTTCCTTAGAATAAACTCTAGAAAGATTTAAACAATATAATTTAAAATTAAAATTAAAATTGTCAAAATGTAAATTTGGGTATACAGAGTTAAACATTTTAGGAAATATAATTGATAACAAAGGTATCCGTCCTACAGACGAAGGCCTTAAAGCAATTACTCGAGTAAGTTTTCCGACTAACATAAATCAATTACGTAGTTTTTTGGGATTGGCAAATTATTTTCAACGGCATATTCCAAATTTTAGTAAAATCACTTTTCCATTAACTAAATTAACGAAAAGTAATTTCAAAACAAAAAAAGATAATATAAAATTGGAAAAAAATCATGAAAACGCGTTTAATGAATTAAAAAACAAATTAATATCGCCACCAGTACTAATGCATTACAACGAAAATGCTGACACTATTTTAGTAACAGACGCGTCTTTATTGGGTTTAGGTGTAATTTTACAGCAGAGGGACGACGATGGTAATATTCATCCGGTGTCATTTGGTGCAAAAAAATTATTACTATTACAAAAAAATGATTCAGCGTTAGAACTTGAGGTATCGGCGTTATTTTTTGGATGCATTCATTTCAGACAATACCTGTATGGTAGACAATTTACAGTATGTACAGACCACAAAAATTTAGTAGGACTTCAAAAATTAAAATCAGATTCACATATTAAATCGAATAAGAACGAAACTAATAGGATATGAATTTAATATAATAAATAAACAAGTTATTTTTAATAAGGCGGTGAATTTTCTATCACGACACCCATCAGGTTTTGACGAATCAGCACAAATAAAATATGATATCGAATCAGATTTAAATACGGTAAATGTCAATTCTACAGAAAAATTATACAATTATATTTCTTATGATGATTTTATTCATAATAATTACCAGGGAGTTATGTTTAATTTCGATGTTTAACAAGTCGATCAAGACCTATTTAGCGACTATTTTGACAAAACATTTCACTTAGTGCATTGTGTTTCACAAGATTTCGAAATGAAGAATGGGATTAGTCTTAAATTCAAGAATAAATATGACCACGTAAACGAATTAAAGGCACTAAACAAAACAATCGGTCAGATCGCTTATTTAAATTTTAATAGACAGTTTGTAATCTATTTAATTACAAAATCAACATCTTATGAAAAATTGACATACAAATCATTATTGTCCACATTAAAGTTGTTAAAAATATTTTGTAGTACATATAACATTAAAAAAATAGCAATACGCAAAATCACGTTTGATTTAGAAACATTAAGCAGGTTAATTTTTTTAAATATGATAAAATACGTTTTTTGTGACACAGTGATCGACATAACAATTTCTACATTTACGCCATCACAGCATAATATAATATCACTGGTAGAACCTATTAACGTTCATTTGTTGCAAACGCGTGATGATTTTTTACAAAACATAACTGGAGCAATTCAAAATCCCGAATCATCGGAAATAAAATGGGTTTGAAAGGCGAAATCGTACTTAACAAATGATGATGATAGGCTTATATTATATTATAGGGATATTTATAAAGGTACGCCTAAATTAGTTATAGCATTGCCATCTAGCTTAATCAAAGATGTAATTGAACATTTTCAAACGAAAAAATGTCTGGTGCACATTTAGGTGTTCATAAAGTGTTTAATAAAATACGATCACGATACCGTTGGCCTACTATGCAAAAAGATATAAAAAATTATGTAATTTCATGCAGAAAATGTCAACAACGTAAACCAGATAAACAGCCAGCAACTGGCATGTTACAATCAAATAAGATCTTAAATGGTATTCCTTTCCAAGAGATTTATATTGACTATATAGGACCTATGCTAAGCTCATGAGGTTGTAAATACATATTAGTTGCCACATGCCGAGCAACAAAATTGTGCTTTGCTTTACCGTACAAAAACACGGACGCTAAATCAACGACAAAATTTTTGTTAGAACTAATACTAACATAAGGCCCACCCAGAGTAGTAAGATCGGACAATGGCACACATTTTACGGCAAAAGTCATTTCGCAATTATTACTAGCGTTAGGAATCCAAAAATTATAGGCCAACTAGTCAGGGACAAGTAGAAAGACAAAATCAGGTGATAATAGATATGATAGCCCCATACGTTGCAGAAGGTGAAAAATGGACCGACGTTTTACCTATTGTATTGCATGCATATAACACGGCCGTACACCATTCAACGTGATATACCAAATTTTATTTAGTACACGGCTACGAGCCTATGTCAATTTTTGACATTGCTATTATTCCATCAAATTTAAATCATTCAACAATTATAGAAATTCAAAAATTGAACTCAATTCGTGAAAAATTACCTGATACTTTACAGAAAGCGTTCGATAAGCAAAAAAAATTACTCGGACAAAGGGAAAAGAGAACAAGAGTTCTATGTGGGAGAAAAAGTTTTAGTAAAGATTTATGTGAGAAAAGATCAATTTTCGGATAGATATGATGGTCTCCACAGAGTATTAAAGAAAATTTACCCAGTTACTTATTTAATTGAAATAGATAAAAATGGTAAAAAACAATCTGAGAAAAAACATATTCAACAAATAAAAAAATATAGAGTTCGATCGCAAATAAAAAATGTGTACTATTATAATTAAAAATAATAATTAATTGAACGTACTAGTATACGTGATATAAATATTAGCATAAGTATTATTAAAATTAAGAGGGATTTATTCATAATAAATTTAATTATAATTATAAATATTAAAATATATTAGTAATTTAATGTTCTCACAATATATTAAATACCACGTTGTAAAAAATGTTATTGTCGAGAGCTCACCGGAATAAATTTCACAACCACTTAATTTCTTAATATTGTTAATAGCAATATTAACGAAGTTAGGTCGTTTGTAAAACTTATCAAAAAAAATGTATTAATTTCTTAACGATATATTTTAATATAATAGTGTAAGTAATATACAATGTAAATTTTTAACAGTTTTGGATTTTAGCTAAATAAATAGGTCAACGAAAATACTAACTCGGCATAATTTCATTCATTGCACATATCATAGTAAGAATATATATGTATATATATTACAGTGAATGATATAATTCACCAGTGCATTATTGTGGCAGTCAACGAATAACGTTTATTATTCTTTAAGTTTAATTTATCTCTGGTCAGGTGACACTACTGAGGGTCTTCCTATTCGAATATTTGTCACATAAACTTTGTCATCATACTTACTGATTATTGTAAAATAGATTGTAAATATATGTAAAAATAAAAAAAATAAAAAACCTTAAAAGTTTAATTTGATCGATAACATAAATAATCTTTGACTTGCTATCTTTATACAATATATTATAATTAATCATTATTTTTATTATTTTTATTTTTTGTTCATTTAATAATTTGTTAAAATGTTTTCAATAGTTCTAGTTATTATGACATTAGGTGTGATAATAATTCATACGTTGCAAATAGAGGGGACAATTGTCGAGAACTACCGAGGAAGTGGATTTGGTATTTATTATGAACCAATTTATAAAATGAGAGTACATTCTAATGAATTTAATTTACTAACACGTGTAAATATTTCTGTTTTTGTCGAAAAATGTGATGATATAAATAATTTAATAAGCTACAATGATAGATTATGTTCAGTCAACAAACATAATGTTTCAAATATATGCAGTAATTTTAATTCAACGTTGAAAATAACTAAAACGGAACTATTGAAACGATACACAACACTTATGTCTTTACAGTATGGGGTAAGAATAAAGAGGGGCTTAATAAATGCAATAGGAGAATTTGAAAACTGGGCTTTTGGTGATGTGGGAGACAACGACCATCAACATATACAGCAAGAATTAAATAATAATATAAATAATAATAAAAAAACTTTAGTTAGTATGAAGTCGCAAGTAAAATTAGTTCAATCAACATTAAATCAGATATCAAATGTATCGTCGACAATATCACAAAATTTCATAAAGATTGTCTAATCCACATCACTAATCAGTAGTTTCAAGCAATAATATTATTAAATACGCATAACCATTGCCTTGGTGGCTTGGTGTTTGTATACCTACAAAATTCATGTTTTACAGTCCAGCAAGAAAATACAGTCGGATGTGGTTGGAGTACAGTTATTTTTTGCAACCGGATGAACATGAAATCAGAGACTACAGCAATAATACTGACACAGCTACTGTTGTTCGACTCCCCAAATCTGGGGTCCAGATTTAAATGGACAAGGGGTACATGTAACGATTGTCGTTATAGACATCGTACATTACTCTTTACGTAAAGCATAGATAATATGTTGAGTGTTGGTAATGGCAAATGTGGTCAAGCAATATAAATTATTATATTATTCTGACTAGAGTTCTGACGCGTCGAGTGAATGACCGACCGGGACTCCTGGCAGTAGCAGTGAATGGTCGATAGTGAAGAGTAGCAGTAGATTGGTGACGAAGACCTGATGAGGACCCACGGACGACCGGCCCAACCCACATGGACATAAGCATTCACGACACACCACCACGGCCCGATTGGTAACCCTCATTTAGATTATAAGACGTAATATAATATATTATTTAGTATGATAGATTGTAAGATTGTAATGATAATTAAATGTATGGATTATAATATAAGGTTTTA